GCGCTCGGCGAGCGCGATGGTCGAGAGCGCGCTGGCTGCCTTTTACAGCAGATCCCAACGCTCACCAGAGGAGATGCTCGGGATTCTCCTGACGCATCATGACGACGCCTTCATGGAGTGGCTCATCGAGCAAAGCCCCGAGGGGAGCGCCACGCGCCACCTGCTCGGGGGGTTGACGGGGTGGAACCGCTCGCTCTACAAGCGGGTGTTGACGTTGAGCCGCGTCTACCTCGAGGAGGACAAACAGAGCGCCTATGATCGCATCTATCACATGAGTCATGGGGAGCTCTTCGGGCTGGTGGATCGTTTGCGCGTGGCGCTCTCTTCTGCGCTGGGCCACCCGCTTCACCCAGCCTCGCTGATCTTCGATACGCCGCCGAGAGACAAGGACAAGCTCGAGAGCATCGAGTTGATTTATCCAAACGCCAGAGGGCAGCGACACTACCCGCTCCATCAGCTCTCGCGCATCGTCTCCGGTGTCCAACACGACTTCATCCGCGTCGTCAAAAAGATCCGCCTCTTCGCAGAACCCGCGATCGCTCGACGCATCAAAGCCTTGCCCGAAGCCGAAGACATCATCATGGGAGAGATCCTTGCTTCCTGACCAAGACAACAACCTCGCGTCGCTCCACCCGCTCCTGTCGCTGCTCGTCGGCGTCATCCTGCTGACCTCTCTCGCGGGGTGCCGCACGGGCGCCTCGCCCGCTGGCGAGTGCAAGCCAGCGACCGCGGTCGCTGCCCATGACGCCTCGGGCGAAATCGAGGACGCGACCTTTGTCGCAAAGACCGCGGCCAAGGACGCGACCACGGAGAGTTCGGGCGCGGCGCCCACGCGATACGAGGAGATCAAGCGCGAGGCGATCACGTTCGAATCGCGCGGCGCCACGTTAAAGGGGACGCTGACGCTTCCTGTGGCGGCCTCGAGCGAGCGCTTCCCCGCGGTGGTGATCCTCCATGACTTTGGCCCGATCGGGCAGGATGGGCTGCGAGCGGCGTCGATGGGCGTGGAGTTGCCCGTCGAGGTCCCCGTCTACGAGCTGCTCGCCGAAGAGCTCGCGCGAAGCGGCGTGGCGGTTCTCCGGTATGACAAGCGCACCTGCGTCAAGAACGCCGCGCCGCGCTGTGATTACCCGAGAGGTCACCTCGAGAGCGCGCGCGACGACCTGGCCGGGGCGCTCGTGGATGACGCCAGGGCCGCGCTCAAGGTCGCGCGCGATCATGCGCGCGTCGACCCGAGGCGCGTCAGCTTGCTTGGCCATGGACAGGGCGCGACGATCGCGCTGGCGCTGCGACGTGAAGGGGGGCCCGAGTCGGTGATTTTGCTCGCGCCGAGCGTGCAACCGATCGACGCGCTGATTCTGCACCAGACGATGACCTCGCTCGCGCTAACGAGGGTGCGACGCGAGGAGGAAGGAGACACCGCGGTGGGCGATCTGCTCGACAAGCAGATCGCCACGCTCGAAGCGGACTTGATCGAGCAACGCGAAGCGTTCGAGAAGGTGCGAGGCGGAAAGGTGGCTCCCAGCGAGCAGATCTTCGGGATGCCCGCGTCGACCTGGAGCGGCTTCTTCTCGCTCCATGACAAGGCGCTCGAGGATCTCGGCGCGCCTCACCCCAAGGGAGGAACGCTCGCGGTGTTTGGTGGGCTCGACCTCTCGCTGCCACCCGATGAGCCCAGGAAGATGGAGGGCATCCTCGGCGAGCGCACGGCGAAGTCTCGCGTGGAAATTCTCGATGATGTCACTCATGACATGGTGTTCGTCTCTCGCGATACGAATGAAGCGCCGAGTTTGGACGAGCGACTCCCCGATCTTATCGCCGGATTCCTGCGCGCGGCGAAGTAAACCCGCCTTCCAAAATTACAGCGATGACGTCGAGAGAGAAAGTATCTGAAGTCAGATGCATCTTCTCTCACGCCAAGATCCCTGTAAGAGAGCGTCAACGATTTGACATCGGGTCACCAAAAGCGGTAAAATTCATTGGCTCTATCCTTACTAAATGATGAAGTTTCAAGAGACAGGTGACACGATGCGCACGCTCACCCAAGGTGCAGCTTTACTTCTTATTTCTAGCGCCATGCTTTTGGCAGCATGCGGAGATGATGAGCCGGGGCCAAGTATCACCCCTCAAACCTCCAACAGCAACGCCAACAATACGACGACTGGCGAGAACCAGTCGCCCAATGCCACCCCGAATAATCAGACGACTGGTACAAACCAGACGAGCAACAATACAACGCCGGCCAACAACACGGCGCCGAGCAACAATCAGACGAGCAACAACACGACGCCAAACAACAACACCTCGACATGCGAGGGAGCCGAGTGCGAGAACTTCTCGGTGTTTGGTCAAATGTAACGCCGAGCGCGGCTTCCGATACGTTAAATACGTATTCAATAAAACCGTGGCGGCACAGGCATTACAATACCGACGCACCAGCGGCATTAACAACCGGCTGATGCCGCGACTCCGGCAATACGTACGCACTGATTCAATGACCATAAAGCTATAATGCGAGCAAGTAAAATAGGCATTACGCTTTCAGCCAGCGTGCTCGAGATTCTCGCTGCAAGGCGGCGGCGCCGAGCAGCATTGCATCAATTCAAACGATCCCGCGGACGCCAATGACAACGCCATCTTCATCATGAAGGGCTGCGGCATGACGGTGGAATGCGTGGCCGTGGACGAGCTCGCCGACGAGCTCTCCTGGACAGTGGATGAGGACGGCGACTACACGATCATTATCGACAATATCTCGAACGCAAATAAGGAGTTCAAGCACACCATCACGATCGAGTGACAGGAGCGCCTCGAAAAGTCCTCCCACCGCGACCGCTCGCATCCGCCCCTTGCTTTGCACCGGGCAATACGAGGATGCGAGCGGTCGCGATAGGAGAACGAACGGCGACCTCATCAAGCGATCCGAAACGGTGGCGAGCTCGACACCCATCACAAAGGAGCCATTTATCATGGCACTGAAACAGAGTTCACATCTGGCGCGCGCGACACTCATCGCCACGGCCATGGCGAGCTTCGTCGTTTCTCCCAACACCGCGCTGGCCTATCGCTTCGATGCGGAGATCTGCGCGCCGTTGACCAAGCACATCCCACGTGGTCCCAACGTGATGATGTACGTGGACACCTCCGCCTCGATGCTGGAGCCTGCCACGGAGAACCCGATAAGCAATGACGAGAACCCGTCGACGACAGGGACCTACGATCAAGGCCTCGAGGTCATCTCGGCCAACGATCCGAACAACCCCCAGAACCGACCAGGGCTCTCGCTCTCGCTCCAGGTCTCGGTGCCTCCCTACGCCTGGGTCGCCAACCACACCAGAGACACCGTCTCCAAGTTCCACACCGAGAACTTCACCGAGGATGGCCGCTACTGGGTGGGTGATAACCCGAGCCGCACCGTGGTCGATGCCGATGGTAACCTCTGGGTGGGGACGCGAAGCTCGACCGAGCTGACCAAGATCCTCTGGGACAGGGACAACTGCCCTGATCGCAACAACAACGGGACCATCGACAGCTCCTACAGATCTGGAAACAACGTCATCCAGGTCAACAGCTCGGGCAACGTGTTCGCCGACGAGTGCGTCCTCTACCACGCTCGCCCGACCAACAACTACAGCAACATCCGCGGCCTCGCGCCTGACGCGAACGGTCAGGTCTGGGTCGGCTACAGCTCCGGCAACGGCGCCGTCCAGTCGATCGACACCTCGACCTTCGCGCTCTCGCCGACCTACGACTCCAGCGGCCAGATGCGCGTCTTCCACCGCGCGGGGACCAGCAGCGGTCAGATGAATGACCTCGGCATGCAGAACGCCGTCGGCTGCCCCGCCTATGGGCTCGTGGTCGACTCCAAGTCGCAGCTCTACATGTCGAACACGTGCCGCAACCGCCTGCCGATGTTCGACATCACCACCAAGACGTGGAAGGAGATCTACTTCACCCCGGACATGAGCTCGGGCTACGGGATCACCACCGACTCCAACGACCGCATCTGGCTTGGCGGATGGCCTGGCGCCACGGGCGTTCGCATGTTCGACCCGAACACGCGCCGCGTCTACTACTACCCGAACGACACCTACGGTCGCGTGACGGGCGTCGCCGTCGAACCCGGCACGGGCGACGTGTGGGCTTCCTTCTACTCCACAGGTTGGACAGGACGTCTGGCGGTCAACGAGAGCAACCTGAACCAGAACAACTGGACGATGATCCCGACGACCAAGACCTCGTATAACGGCGGCAACATCTCGGGCGTGGGCAACGACTTGCGCGGCGTCGGCTTTGACAGCTACGGGAACGCCTGGACCATGGGGATCGGCTCGGATCGCATCTGGAAGCTCGACCCCAACACCAACCGCCGCGCCTCAGATCTCCCCTACGGCAAGTCGCTCGGTAACGGCACGCACTACACCTACTCCGACTTCCTGGGAACCCAGGCCGCGTCCTTCACCGCACCGAGCGGTCGCTGGACCAAGATCTATGACCTCGACGGCGCGCGCATCGACGCGGTCGTCCTCGAGGCGCACACCCCTGCGGGCACGAGCGTTGGCGTGCGCTTTAGAGCGCTCGCCGACGACGGCTCGCCGACCACCGGCTGGTTCCCCACCGAGACCAACGGCGTGGCAAACTTCTACCCCTATACCAGCGGGTCGAACCAAACCAACTTCCCGATCCCGCAGTCCAACGATAACCCGTTCGTCGCGCAAAAGTTCGAGGTCGATGTCCGCCTGAGCACCGGCGACAAGGGCATCCGCCCGATCCTCTACAGCGTCGGCTTCCGCGGCAGCCAATCGGACTCTTCCTGGGAGCGCGCGCAGAATATCGCCACTGGCCTCTCCAACAGCTCGACCGTCCCCGGCAGCTGCACCGAGGATGATGGCTCTGGCTGCGACAAGCTCCAGATGGGGCTCGCCACCTTTGACAATAACGTCGACGTCGCGACGCTCCCTGGCGAGAACACCAACGTTCAAATCGGTAACGAGATCAACGCCACCGCGCCCAAGGGGCTCACCGGCATCGATGACGTGATCGAGGAGCTGCGCACGACCAACTCGCTCAAGGCCACAGATCGCGACAACCTCGCCATCCTTATCACGGACGGTAAGGCCAACACCGAGACCGAAGTCGTCAACGCCATCAACGGCATCTGCGAGGCGCGCACGCGCACCAACGCCCCTGGCGTCACGACCTACGTCATCGGCCTCGGACCAAACTCCGACGACAAGATGACGAGCCTCTTCGCCGCAGCCGGTGGAACAGGCGCGTGTACGCTAAACGGGAACGCGTTCGATCCGTGCAACGCATCGAACCTCGATCAATACCTGAGCACCTCGGGCACCGCCCCCTACACCCAGGTGGGGGTCACGCCCAACACCATCGATTGCGCTGGCGCCTACGACTACAACGGCGTCACCGCGCTCAAGCTGCGATTGCTCCAGCAGTCGGACGAGCAGTCGTGCCTCTTCGAACTCGATGTGCCCGATGACCCCGACATGTACAACCAGCCAAACTACCCTCAGATCGGTGGTCTACCTGACCCTGAAGCCACGCAAGTGATCATGAATCACATCAACTGGCGCATCCTGCAGCTCCCTTACTGCGATCCCGCTCAGGGAGACATGGACTGCGGCCTGGAGGCAGAGATGCTGTCGAAGGGAAGCATCGCAGCAGCGACCGCGACTCAGTTCAAGGATGAGGGCTGGCACTGGGCCAACGCCGAGCGCTCCGTCGCGACGCTCACACCTCAACTCTGCAAGGAGATCATCAGACGCAACGTCAAGAACGTCACCACTCAGGTCTCCTGTCAGTGCAAGCGCACCGGCGAGGAGTGTGACACGGGTCAGGTCGGCCGCTGCGGCCCTGGCTACTTCGAGTGCAACTACGACACCCAGCAGGACGAGTGCAAATCCGAACAGCTCGCCATGCCGGAGGTCTGTAACGGCATCGACGATGACTGTGATGGCGTCATCGATGACCTCTCCAACGAGGATCCTCGCGATTGGAAGAACCTCACCCAGGCCAACCCCGAGTTCATCGGCTTGACCTGCGAGTTCACCGACGCATGCCGCTGCGACGGCGACCCTCGCGCTGTCATCGACACTGACGATGTGGACGTGTTCATCGAGCAGAGCTGGGAGAACAAGTGCACATGCATCGAGGGCCTCGAGCCTTCGACCAGCGCACCTTCGAGCGACTCGAGTGACTCGAGCGGTGGGGGCGAAGTCCCCGCCGCTGGATGCTCGTCAGGAGCAGGCGCGAGCGCAGCGCTCGGTGGCACCGCCGGTCCACCGCTCTTCGCGCTGCTCGGTTTGCTGCTCGTTCGCGTCCGCCGCCGACGTGAAGACTGAGGTCACAGAGGAATAGAGCAAACCCCGAGGATGGTCCCCATCCTCGGGGTTTGCTACATCGGCGCGCTGGCAATAATCACCGACGCCGGCGCGCGAACTTTAAAGCCCCGATGGATACAAAGAGATGATGTCTTACAAACACTTGTTCGCCGCTTCGATGGCGGCGCTGATGCTGTTCCCTGCTTGCGGAAACAACAACGACAACGGCACCACCCCTCCGCCAACAGGCAACTCGCTCTCCTGTGGTGAGGGCACGCGCCGCATGGCTGGTGAGTGCGTCCCTATCAGTGACCTCGCCACGTGCGGCGAGGGCACCATGCTCGTCGACGGCGAGTGCGTCGCCACGGATACAGGTGGCAACAACGAGGTGACCTGTGGCGCGGGCACGACGAACGTCGACGGTCGATGCGTCCCGAACGCGATGGATGTTTGTGGTCAGGGCACCATGCTCGATGAGGCGACAGGACGTTGCGTCGCGACCGCTGAATGCGGACCACAAACGACGCTCGTCGATGGACAGTGCCTGGCGGATGACGACATCCTCGCCAACGAAGCCACGCTTTCGGAGAGTGACACCGAGAACGATCCTGCCTACGGAGGATCCCCCGAGATGCTCACGCTCCCGGCCGCTGGCGACAGCGTGCTCGCGGTCGGTGTTATCGGCGAACCTCGCGACCTCGACGGCGACAACGGCAGGGATCAGGATGTCGACGTCTGGCAATTCAGCGCCACGTCTGGAGACACCGTCAACGTCAAGCTGCTCGAGCTCGGCGCAGGCGCGCTCGCGTTCGAGGTTCGCGGTCCACAGGGATTCTACCGCCAGGGGCCGGGCTTTCAGCCCGAGCCAGAGCGCGCGCTCTTTCTTCCGTTCGATGGCGATTACCAGATCACGGTTCGCCCTCAACTCCAGCTCTTTCAACCCGAGGCGGGCCCCTCCGGCTCGGATGATTCGCGCTACAGGTTGGCGGTCACCAACCTCGGCGGGTTGATGACCAACGATGGCACGCCATTCGACATCGCCAACACCACGCCCGTCCCGGGCGAATTGCTCGCGCTCGAGCAAAACCTCTACCTCTTCCAGTACACCGCGCCAGCGCTCTGGAGAGCGACCATCACCAGCGTCGAGGAGCGCGACGCGACGGTCGCCATGCTCGTCCTCGATGGTCAAGGCACGGTGCGGCGCGTCCTCGAGCCGGGCACCCGCGAGGTGATCCTCAACGGGAGCGTCGACAACGACCGCTGGCTGTTCGTCGACTGGACAAGACTGAGCACCGATCGCGATGACTACGAGCTGCGCGTCGAGCAGTTCGACGCGACCGCCATTCCCGACACGCTCGAAGGCGGCGCGAACGTCAGTCGCGCCGGAAATATCGACATCGATCCTCAGCAGAGCGTCTTTATCACCGCGACGATCGAGCTCGTCGACGCGCAGCAAAACCCCGTCGATCAGGGCCTCGTCATCAACCTCGACGCCACTCGCCTCGACCAGAGCGTCGCGGTGAACTACGAAGTGTTCGCTCCGAACGGCGAGCGTTTGCAGAGCATCGATGGCTCTCCATTCCTGTTCCTCGCGCGCGAGTCTGGCGACTATCTCATCAAGGCCACCAACCTGAGCCAGGATGAGCCACAGACGCTGACACGGATCGACCTCGAGAGCTTCATCCCGACCTCTCTCGGCACGCTCGCGAACCCCGGTGATGAGGGGAGCGGCGCGCTCTCGGTGATTCCTGGCAAGCCGACCTTCGGGCTCTTCGATGCCTCCAACGGGCTCGTCACCTCGATCTCGATGGAGAACTCCGGGTTCGAGGGCGCGAGCATCACCATCCTCAGCGACGAGGGGCTCCAGCCTCTGTTCACGAGCGATGGCACAGGCACCTTGACCCTTCCCCCCTACGTCGTGCTCGAGCCCGGCCCTCGCGTGGTGCAGGTCGTCAGCCTCGGCGGCGCGCCGTTCACTGCGGACGTAATGAAGCGTAGACATCGGGTTGGGACCGGATGGGTTGGACGTGGAGGCGGATCCGGCGCGAGCCCAGCCCGCTGTGATTAGCCTGTTCACTTTCGCGCTTCGCTGAGCTCGGACAACCCGCTGACCGTCGAGGTCATCTCTCCCAATGGCGAGGTCTTCGAGCGTCCACCTGCTGCGGCCGCGGTCTCGCGCGCGAGCTTCGTGGCCGCGCCCGGTCAGACCTACACCGTGCGCATCTCGAGCCCGAACGCCACGCGCGAGGTCTCTTACAGCATCAACGCACAATTCGACGAAGCAGGCCCCTATGAGAGCGAGCCAAACAACAGCTCCGCCACAGCGACCGCGCTGACCGCCGATAACACCGAGTTCGTGGGCGCGGGCACGGTGACCGGCATCACCGATGAGGATTGGTTCTCCGTCACGCTCAATGAAGAGACCTTCATGGAGATCGCGCTCGAGCGCCTCGGGGATATCCGCAACCCATCGCAAACCATCAGCGTGATCGCGTTCGACACCGATGGAATGACCGCGCTGGGTGACGAGAGCTTGGTGCTGCTCCCCGCGGGCACGACCTTCTTCCGCGTGCGCTCGTCGAATAACACCGGCACAGGCAACACCTATGGGTTGCGCCTCTCTCCCGCCGCCGCGCAAGATCTCGGCGTCCTCGCTGCGGACGCCGTCGTGCGCCGCGAGGGAACCTTCTCACAGGGGCAGACGCAATCGACCTTTACCTTCGATGTCCCAGGGAACCTCCCGGCTAGCCACGACGTCATCATCTGGTCGAGCGCGACGCTCGATCTGTTTGACCCCAATGGTAACTCGATTCACCTGTCAGCGGACTCCGGCCAGTTCTTTGGCTCCGCCGCAGACGGATCCTTTGCAGGCAACGGGCTCGCCGCCGGGACCTACCAGGTCGTCATTCGAGATGGACAGGCGGGCCAAAACTGGGACCTCTTTGTCGGCGTGCTCGACCCCACCGAAGAGACCGAACCAAACGATACCCAGGCCACAGGCATGAGCATCGGAAACCCGAGGAACGGT